GGTGCATGCCTGTAATCCCAGCTACTCAGGAGGCTGAGGCAGGAGAATTGCCTGAACCCAGGAGGCGGAGGTTGCGGTGAGCCAAGATCGCGCCATTGCACTTCCAGCCTGGGTAACAAGAGCGAGACTCCGCCTCAAAAAAAAAAAAAAAAAAAAATACAAAAAATTAGCCTGGTGTGATGGTGGGCGCCTGTAATCTCAGCTACTCAGGAGGCTGAGGCAGGAGAGTCACTTGACCTGGGAAGTGGAGGTTGCAGTGAGCCAAGATCTTGCCAACGCACTCCAGCCTGGGCCACAGAGCAAAACTCCATCTCAAAACAAACAAACAAAAAACTTTGTGGTTTCTGGCCAGGTGCAGGGGCTCATGCCTGTAATTCCAGCACTTTGGGAGGCCAAGGCAGGCAGATCACTTGATGTCAGGAGTTTGAGACCAGCCTGGGCAACATGGCAAAACCCGGTCTCTACTAAAAATACAAAAATTAGCCAGGCGTGGTGGCGCTTGCTTGTAACCCTAACTTTTCAGGAGGCTGAGGCGGGAGAATGGATGTTGCAGTGAGCCGAGACGGTACTGCTACACTACGGCCTAGCTGATAGAGCAAGGCTCCGCCTCCAAAACAGAAAAACACTTCAGGTTTTTTATCCATGTATCATCCCAATCTTCTGGATTTACATTTGGAATGACTGCAAGAGACCAAGCATTCATTTAATGACCTCTATATGCCAAGTCTTATTCTGAGCATTTATTACCTTAATGATCAAAGACCCTATGAGGTTGATACTATTATGATGATTATTATGACTGTTATTGTTATTTTTAGAGACAGGGTCTTCATCTGTCACCCAGGCTGGCGTGCAGTGGCAGGATCATAGCTCACTGGACCCTTGAATGCCTGAGTTCAAGTGATCTTCCTGCCTCAGCCTCCCAAGTAGCTAGGAATACAAATGTGTGCTACTACGCCCCACTAATTTTTAAAATTTTTCGCAGAGATGGGGTGTCGATATGTTGTCCAGGCTGATCTCAAACTCTGGGCTCAAGCAGTCCTCCCAATTCAGCTTCCCAAAGTGCTGGGATTACAGGCATGAGCCACCATACCCAGCCCAAGGTTGATACTTTTTTTTTTTTTTTTTTGAATAGCTGTTGAACGTTGGACTCACTGCTAGACCTTCTTATTTGGTACATAATTAACATACAGACTGGATCGAAAATACATTTTTAAAATATTTCAAATATTTTGATAGCTATTCAATACTTGTTTCCTCTGTTATTATTCTTTTTTTTTTTTTTTTTTTTTTTTTTTT